AATAAGAACAAATAAAGAAATTAATAATGATAGCACAAATAAAAAATAACGACAGGCCTTCGAATTAAATAAATAGCTTTTTAGTTTTTCAGGTAGGTCTAACAGTAGGGTTAAGATATTTAACTTTTTTTTTTTTTTTTTTTACCAAATATCCAAATAATGTTTAGCCCTAGAAAGCTATTATTATCAGAACACGTGAGCATAACATAGCAGTTAGCAGATCAATGAATGAGAGGGCAGCATTACCAGAGTTGCCCATATACCACACACCATGTTACAACACAGTAGGGTTATTGCAGACAGAAACAATACTGTACTACATAGATGTTTCCTGTCGGCTCAATTTTTGAGTGGACTTTGCTGTTCCGATTCACATGAACGGTATACGAGTGGAGCGACTGAGCGGAGCGCACACGCATAGAGCGGGATAATAAGCAGAGCGTCACACCACGTGAAAGTGAAACCTGAGCGGTGAACTAATTTTCGGCAGCCGAAATTTCGGTGCATCTCTAATTATTGGCGGCATCAGAAATGGATATTGTATAATAGATGCTTTTTTTGAACATTTTAGCAATATAAATATTTGTAAAAAATGCTGATACATTGAAATACTCAGTTTTGTCGAGTGCATCACCTCACATGATACTTTCTGAGTTGGCACAAAGCATCGGAGCCAACAGTTCAGTGTCTCTATACATGGACAAGATGGAAGAAATGCACTTTGATGGCTTTGAGCAAAGGCTTGGAGGTGCAAACAACGCGAGGATAGAGGGGCGCTGCGTCCCAGACAGCTGATGCATTGCAAATCAGCCACTGTCAGATCCGTTCACATTTTCAGTCATTATTATTTGAAGCCAAAAGCACAGCATAATAAAATATCATCAGAGAGAAGTTGTGGAAGAGAGTCCTTGCTTTGTGGTATTGATCTTTCTCTTCTCGGAACGTTATTAGATTCTGATCCCATGAAAAAGCGCTGGATGGATCATTTGGCTGTCTAATAGTTGATTGCATTTGAGGTCTCATTTATAAGGGAAGGAAGGACTGTTTACATTTTATTTGGCACATCATTTACAAATGCCCCAGCAGCCGCTGAAATTGAAAATATAAATCTGGTAAACACCAAACTAAGCCTCTTTCCTCCAGCTCTCGGAAGCTGCGGAAAATGCTCAATAGCCAATGTCAGAAGGGACAGGGTTGACTGACTAAGGCTGCCTCAGCTGTATTGTATAATGTTTTCAGTACAAAATACTGGCCCTGTTTGTCTCGTGTGGCCTCTCTTCCTGTCCGGCCATCTCTCAGGACACTTGTTTTACTAAGGCTGCTGCCAAAATACTATTGGTCTCCAGAGGAAGGAAGGGATGCCTGGTCGGTAAGTGTGGCTAGAGGAGCCATTCGTGCATGTAGTGTGCACATCCCAGCTGTCCACTTGATGTTAGCTCAGTTTACTGATCCATTTGTAGTTCATTTTGGACTTGAGTAATTTACTTTGAACCAGTTGTATCAATTTGCAGAGTAGTTGTGAACATTTTAGGTGAGCAATAATTGCATTGACGCGATCTGAAAATCAGTGGGATAAGTCATTTAATGATTCTGGTTCCTTAAAAGTTCCATTAACAATTTTTTTTGTAGTTAAAATGTAAATTAAGACTGCTAAACTATTAATAGTTCAATTTTATTTAAATAATTTATTTTAGAATTATAATTTTTGCAAAATGTGTTTTACACAGAATATCATTTTTACAGACATTTAAAAATATTAAAGGTGTTATATAAAGTGTGTTTATTAAAATGAAATGTCACAAATAGTAACCAAAAACATATTTCATTCTCAAACTGGAACACTGCAACAGTCCTTGTTTCCTTTTTAGTCTGACATGAGTAAAATTAAATAATTTCAGCAAGTGAGAGCACAGATTGATTTTTAAGTGCTTTTGATTCACTCAAAAGAACTGCTCATAAGAATCATTCATTCAGGAATCTGACTACATGTCTTGCACTGTACGTATTTGATTCACTCAAACAGGTTCATAAGAGTCATTTGTTTCAGAATTGAATTACACTGGTCATGCTGTTTATGTTTGATTAACTAAAAAAAAACGTCATAATCATTCATTCAGGAATCGGACTACATGGCTTGCACTGTGTGTTTTTGATTCACTCAAACTGGTCCATAAGAGTCATTTGTTTCAGAATTGAATTACACTGGTCGTGCAGTTTATTTTTGATTTACTAAAAAGAACCACTCATAAGAGTCATTCATTCAAAAATCAGACAGGTCGTGCTGTGCACGGATTCACTGAAAAGAACCGGTTCATAAGAGTCATTTGTTTGGGAATTGAAATGCACTGGTTGTGCTGTTGGATTTTGATTCACTGAAATGAACTGGCTCATAAGAGTTATTCATACAAGAATCAAATTGGTAGCTCTGTACGCTTTTGATTCACTTAAAAGGAATGGCTTGTAAGAGTCATTTGTTTAGGAATTAAATTTCACTGTTCTTGCTGTTTATTTTTAGTTCAGTGGAAAGAACCACTCACGAGAATAATTTATTCAGGAATCAAACTACACTGGTTGCACTGTACATTTTTGACTTACTGCAAATAATCTGCTCATAAAAACGTTGACTTCTGCATTCTACTGTGGAGGTGTGCAATTTTTGGATGTATTAATGAGAGAAGCATGACTCCGTTGTCCACCCCTTGTGGTGAGACCTACCAACTCTTTCCCTGCTTGAAGTCCACTGACACTTTGACTCTGTGATAGGGCTACCACTGCGTCGCTTTGATACAGCAGAGCTCTCCTTTCATCTCAGCATGCTTCTTCTGCATCTAAAACCTCATTAGTCCAGCCATGGGTGTTTTATACTCCAGGCAAAGAGGAGATGATCCAGCCGCCCTCTGCCTTTGCCCTCTCTGGAGCCCAAGTGATACACTCAGAGGGCTTGTAGGCTACAGGCTCTCGTTTGCCAGCTGTGTCTTAAATGATTTTGCCCTCAAGCTAGGGATGAGCAGAAGAAATGGTTGCAGGCTGGTGGACTATTGGATTTAAAGTATGTATGTCCATGTCTGCGTGCACCCCGCTGACCCAGGTCTAATTTTATGTGTGACTATGTTTATGTGTGTGGAAATACAAGGATGAGAGTCTGAGAGGCTTTTACAATGGATATTTTTTCATTTCAGAGCTAAAAAATGTTCAACTTTAGCAGTAAGTCTTCCTGTTCTTCTGCTTAATGCCACAGGGTCTTATAAGTGTATGTTTTATTTATTTCAAACTTATGCTGAAATATTTAATCTTTATATATATATATATATTTTAGTAACCACAAATAGTACAAGTTTGTTTATTTAAGCATTTTTAATAGATTTTATATATTTTATTATATTTATGCATGCATACATAAATTACTGTATTATTTTAAAGCTGTATTATATCTCAAAACTAATTTAATCTCCATGTATGTATTTATTTTTTGTTTTAGTTAATATGACGTATTTATTTAGTTTTATTCTCAGATGTTATGTAATAATATTTATATTATTTACTGTATTGTTGTATTTATTTATTTAAAACGTATGTTTAAATATTTAATTCAATATTTAGTTTTGTGACCACAAACTGTACAACTTTCATTCATTCATTCATTCATTCAAGCGTTTTTAGTATATTTTATGTATTCAATTATATTTATACAAAAATAAACTGTAATAAATATTAGAAAATCACCTACATAAATGCTATATTATAACTCAAAGTAGTATTTCATGTCCATTTATGTATTTATTTTGTTTTAGTTAGTACATTATAATATATTATATTTTAATGTTTATTATCATGTTGTTTTTATTTATTTATTGCTTAAATATAAACAAATAAATACAATTAAAATATTTACATTTCTTTAGGGTTTTCTATGTTTTAGTTACCACAAGCAGTACATTACAAGTGTGTTATTTTTACCTGGTGGTTAATAGATGCATGTTGGAAACTGCATTTATGTTGGTAACCATTGCAACAGGAATCATTAGGTATTAAGGAATTAAGATAATAATCGCATGAAAAATCACAACAAACATAAATACTATTGTTATTTATGCTGTATTTTAGATGTACATATCAGAAATATATCACACAAAACTAGTGTTTTTAAAATGTACAAGATATAGTACATGATATTTGGCTTAGGGCCATCAAAAACAATTTGAGTTGCACAAGATGAAACTCAACAGACTGCAGCCCAGAGATTTCTAATAAAAAGCTGATGCCCAAGTCATTATATTGCATGCTGCTTTTTCACAGTTAACTTTTAATGTGCATTAACTTGCAAAATGACTTTGTGAAATGTCAAGTTTACCATCACAGCTGTCATGCTGAAATATCTCGAGATATGCCAGTGACGTTTATGCAAATGTGCTTTGCATGGTAACCAGGAATTTGATTTGAGTTAAACTAGTGTAAACAGCACACATGTTTCATTGTCATAAGTCATTGTTTTTTTTAGATCGAAAACCAAAATGCCAAAACATTAGGTCATTATAGAAACCATGAGAGAAGCAATATAGGTTAAACTGTAGCTGTACGTTCAGTTCTTGAAAAAAGATCTTGAAGCAAGGCTCAGCAAATACATTTTCAACGCAAGCGGTTGACTAATTCCCCCCTGCTTACCCAAATATTTGATATTCACAGCTGGTCCGAGTTCTTTTTGCACAAACATGTTTATAAAAAGGGTCCAGCTCATTATTATAGTGATTTCAGTCCTAGTATTGTACAAGTTCATTTCTAAAATGCCAGCAAGACGGTTTACCTCAGTAATTGGAAATATAGAAATGTTAGGACATATGTTAGTTTGGAAATAGAAAAATAATGAGAACAAAATCGCAACTTTCTGGTGTGCTGTTTTTATAGCACCTGAGGTACTTTCTCAGCGCTAATGAAATGGTGGGAAAAAAAGCATAGCCCAATGCGTTGTTTCTGAATCTCTCTGTCTCTGTTGGTTCTCACAGATATTGATGATTGTCAGTCCAATCCATGTCAGAATGGAGGCACCTGCATTGATGAGATCAACTCTTTCGTATGCCTGTGTCTGCCCAGCTATGGTGGAGCAACCTGTGAGAAAGGTAATGAAATGACACACGTGCACTTACATGCAAATGATGGGATTAGAGAGGTTTTAGAGGTGGGGGAAATTCCTGATCTGGATGTGATCTGGAATAAACAGCATCCTTCCTTTCAAACAGTTCGCAGACTGTTTTGTGTCACCCTGAATGGGATTATATAGCCATAAAGACAGACTGTTATGTGTGTGTGTGTGTGTGTGTGTGTGTGTGTGTGTTTATATATAATAAAAAATAAAAAGAATACATAAATGGACATGGAGTATTGTTATAATTTGAATATATATATACAGTGGGGCAAAAAAGTTTTTTTTCCCCACTGTATATATATATATTCAAATGATAACAATATTCCATGTCCATTTATGTATTATTTTTATTGATTTGTATATATTATATTATTCAGTGTTATTTTTATATTATTTATATACTATTATAGTATTTGGTAATATTTTGAATTATCTTATATTTTTATATTTCATATATATGTTTAAGTTTAGTGTTTTTCTTTTTGTTTTTATGTGCTTTTGTCATTTTTAGTTATTTTTATTTTTATTTCAGTTAGTAATTTTATTCCTTCAGCTTCGTCTAAAATGTATTTTATTTCAGCTTAACGTCAAGTAGTGAAAACGAGATTTAATAGTTTTAGTTAACTATAAAGCACAGATATTTTGTGTAAATAAATAAATAAGTAAACATAAATGAATAATTCAAGAAACAAATAGTTCAGCACAAAAGAGAGTTTTTAAAGATACTCCGTTGTTGTCTCTTTTTTTATTTACACACTTGTGCTGTCAAACTGTTGTATAAACTCATAGCCATGCGATATGGCTGTATATCGTGCAGATATACATACCTCGTGCCTACAGCCGAATCGCAGCTGTGCTGATATACAGCCATATCGCACTGCTACTCATGTGATATTGCTCATATATATGGTGACATATGAGTTGATATTTTAGTAGTTGAGTAAAAAACAAATAACTTCAGGTACAGGCCTTTTCACCGACGGCAATTGGTGCAGATAGCCCAGGTGAGTCCTGTCAAACTAAACAAGCTGCACCTGTACTGAGACGCAACACATTTAATTCTGGTGTAATCCAAGCAGTGTCAGACCGCTGCAGCATGATCACTTTCTCCAGCCTGAATGTGTTTGCTTTACCATCCTATGGCCTTACAACCAAGCGTTCAGCTGCAAGGCAATGAAGCATGGGCGATCAATTCCATCCCTGTCGTGAGAGAGAGAAAGTGAGACCGAGAGGGAAATGGAAGTGAGAAAACAGAGGAAGCAGTGACTTAGCAGGTCAGACTTACGATCGCTCTGATGGAGCGAAACGCACCTTCGCCCAAATCCTCCCCTCCAAATGTACCCCCCAAAGAGAGTGGGGGGGTGGAGCCCTCCCATCATGCACACACTTTATGTCTTGTAAAGTGGGCTGGAGGAGTGGGAGCAGTAGACTGGAAAGGGTCCATGGCTGCCCTTCTGGTGGTGACAGGATGTTCGTTTTGGGTGAACTATTCCATTAACATGCAGGACTACTGTGAGTGTGTCTGTAGTCTACATTTTATTTTGAACCAGGGCTTCATTAAACGCTTGATTCTGATTGTTCACAGTTTGTGGCAAAGGATTATAGAGCGCAACAGTCGGGGGCCAGAAGAAAAAAATCCCATACTTTAATGAATATACATTATTTTTATACTTAGAATCTACAATTTTGAATAAATCGTTTTATGTTTTGACCGTTTTTAATGAAATTACATAATCTGCCATTGTTCAAGGAAAATATTTTTTTTATTTATTCAAGTACAAATTCCATAAATTTTCTTCAGAAGAACTGATTTGTAATGATAACTTAAAGTTGTAAAAGATTTACATTTTTGCTCAAATTTTTTGCTTACCTCAAAGCACACGAGGATTGCTTAATGTACAACCGCACACACCCCTTCGATAAGAATGATCAAAGAGCTGCTGAAGCCCGTGTCAGGTTCATTTGTTTGCTCACCCAGTCTCCGGTGTAATGTGATTCAAAGACTGTCTGTTCTCATCACAACCACATCAGTCCTTTGAAGCTCACCTGCCTCCACCAGAAACCTCCAGTTTCCATGGCGACCACTGCCAATGTCAATACACCTACAACACCACCAAACCGGTCAGGTTCAGAGGCCAGCTGTTCGATACGCGGTGTAATCAACAGACCCACTGAGCCAATTAATATGTTGTGCTAATTGCAACTCTTACGGACAATCAATTTGAGGTAAAAGCATTTCTAAACACATTAAACCAATGCATTAAAGCATTTCACAGAGATCTCTAATGTATTTTTGTGGGGAAATAATCCTCAATTGTCTTTAACATCGTTACATTTTCATGCACCATTTGCTCTGAGGAAATGTAGCTTTTAGCACCTGTAATTTTGGCTCAAAGATCTTGGGAAGTACGTGTACCTGGCAATTTCTGCTGGCTTTGTTAAACTTGAGAAACTGAACAGAAGAAATTCACAAACATGCATAGCATGCTCTAAATGTCCTCTATTCTTCATGTGAAGCAAATCATTTGTGAATTGAATAAAAAACTGATTAGCATGTGACATGCTTAATTAATCCCAGCGCTGCAGAATGCACTTCAAAACGTATTTCATTCCACTTGCGTATGTTAATATCGTGTACTTGTTCAGTTCTATATCTTTTCTTTTTAAATCCCAAGCTGTGACGCAAATATTTGTTCAGAGAGAACAGAAAGTGCCTTCGGATAAAGGTGCAGAGTCCCAAGTGAGGATGAATGGACATTAATGATGCCTGTGGCTTGTGAGTCACATTTTAAACCGATGCTTTCAATGCAGGAAACCACCTGCAAAGACTCCCGAGCACCACAATTTCTGCATATATCTCTCGCTTCCCGCTCATAATTTAGTGAGTGCAAGCAATTCCCACCGTATCTGCCTGACTGTGAAGTATTTGTTAAGTCAAATGTGTGGGGAAGATTTATGAGCTGGAGTCATGCCTGATGCTTATTAACTTAGGCCCACCACAAAATCATTTTGTTGTGGTAGTCGGATCATCTAGCGTGATGGCGCAAACATCTCAACTAATGTTGTTGTGGTTTTCAAACAGCCTTACTGTTATTACGATATAATTATTTCAGAGATCACAACAGATTGTTATTTGTTTGTTTGTTTGTTTAGTGTGAAGGAGCAGTGACTTCATGGGCAACTTTTTCTATATGTACAGTATAGATGTACATTTGTATATTGATGTACTGTTTTCTTTATATATAATGAAAAAATTACTACTATGTCATAATAGAATAAACAGGTTAATTCTAAAATTACATTCTAAAAAATTATTCTACTAATTCTAATAATTCTAAAAAAAAAATGTTTAAAGGCTTTTATTTAATATTTATGAACATAATTAATAGTTTAACAGCATTACACAGGATTTATTTATTTATTTATTTATTTGACTAAAAGCAATGACTTTTTTTTTGTGTGTGTGTGTGTTTTTTGGGGGGTATTTTCACCCCTGGTTTCACAGACAAGGCTTAAGCCTAGTCCCAGACTAAAATGCATGTTTTAACTGAAAGAAACTTGCACTAACATATCTTAAAATATGCCAGTGCCATTTTCTTTTCTGTTTTTATATATATTTTAATACAGTTTCTGCATCTCAACTATGCTATTTCAACTGTCACACAAATTGTAAATAATTTGTTTTGTATTTTCAGATCAATTTATTTTTATGTAGGTTCTACCAGAAAAACAAAGTGACTACTTCATTTAATACATGAGTTGATATACAAAGCATAGTTTTGATACCTCTGTAAGATTTTCTGTCTGACGGTGGTGAGTTCAAAAGATGAAAAAAAAGAAGAAAAAGTGCAACTGAGAACCATCAGGTTTCACCGTTTGGAACCATCGTGTAGTCTCAATCCATTCTTTCAGGCTAGAATGTTGAAATGGTCAATATTTATAATAAATATTTGACAAGTTATTTTTGTATGTGGCTGTGTTGACTCATATTGAGGGCAGAAAACACATATTTTGTAAGAAAACAGAAGAAGCAGAAGATTGCACCCAACATTGTACCTCTCAAAGAGTTTGTTTTCTCATGAAATTTGTCTGAATTAAATCATTGATACAGCATATTGTGAAATAGGTTGTTAAATGGTAGCCACATATTTTTACCTCACATATCTGTGGCATTTTCCCATCAAGCCCTGATTGATTTCTGTCCCTAAGTTTGCCTGCCAGAGAAAATAACTATTGGAGCTTGCATGTTTGTAACAAGGTTAAACAATTCACCAATCCGACCTGACAGCATTTTCTTTTATCTTGAGAGAAGTTTTGTCAAGAGTAGGAGATTGATTGACAGCTGAAAAGAGTAGTGGGCATGTTACATGCCGTCTAGTCTGAGCTGGAAGCAGGCAGACCTGAAAATAATCAAGACTGACAGTGAGCACCACTGAGGTCCTGCATTAACTAATATTGAGCACAGCCAAATTAATCACAGTCTTCTGGGTATTTAGATAGTGTTTGCACTAATGAAGATTTCTTAATTATAGAATCACATCAACAGGAGCATGTGGTGAAGATTACTAAACACGGGTGGTTGAGCAGAGGTACAAATTGCTAGATTGTCTTTTTTTTTACCAATTTTTTTTCTCTGAATGTGACTCAGAAACTGTATATATATATATATATATATATATATATATA